ATTTGGATGGGTGAGCGAATACTTTTGGCAATATAGTGTATCTATTCAGAAGCCACCTTGCCTCAGTAAGTGGTCCATCCTCATATATCCCTCTGTTCTCCTTGGAGAAGATGACTCAAGTAGTTGCTCTTTTCCTGATCCTGGAAAAAGATGCAGCTGCTTTAAGGAGTTGCAGACAGGAGCTAAGCTGTGCTATAGCATCTGTTTGCTTTTTTTTGTCCCCATTACCTCTCAGCCTACTCTATCCTCCCCACTTTAGGTGATCCCCAAATGTTCTGCTGGCACCAGAAATCTATAGATTCTCTATTACAGGATTGTGATCGTGACAGAATGAACAGCAGTCTAAACACAGCTAAACCACTTTTTTTTTTTTTTTTACTGTTCTTACTTCGACAATCTGGAATTTAGTACCAGAAATTTGGGACTATATATTAATCAGCATTAATTCATGCCATTCCATGATTTCTGTTTATAGCCCAAATCAGTGTTTTTCAACTTCAGCAACTTTGAGTAGACTTCAATTCCCAGAATTCCCTAGCTAGTATGGTTGGCTTGAGAATTCTGGTACTTGAAATCCACCCCTGGATTTCCCTCAATAAATTCAATATGAAGGCTTTTAACTTACAGATGTACGGAGAATGCAGATGACAATCCTGTCTCTTTAGCAGGGGTGAGATGAGGTGAAATGATGGAAAGATTGGATATTTGGAATAAACAGGTAAAAAAATGAGTTTGGGGCTACACACTTGCCCTCTGGACTGGGGAAGGAGAATATCACTAGTCTACTTACCAATAAAGTGACAAATGTGGCGAAAGTGAGAAAACAAATCTGCCTCTAGAGAATCAGGAATAGGAATATGAAGGAGTTTTTCTGTGTCTTCAAGGAAGCTGGGGAAAAAGAGACGATCTGTTTAGAAGCATGCAAAACTGAATCAGCCCAGTCAATATCATCATCTAATAACTGATTAGAATTGGAGTAGTTCAAACTTTTGTTTAGCTATAAAGCTCATAATGATCTTTATCAATCATTCTCAAACTGGCTTAAATCATTGAGTTGTTTGGTGGTGGGAATTATATATACTGTAAGCTATTTAGAGGATAGGTCATTTTAAAAATACAACAGTGTGTGAAAAATGGGCAAGGAATCATAGATAATCTGAGTTTATATTTTTGTACATCTATTTTCTTTCTTCCGGGTATTTTTTGGATGGAAATAGGGGAAGGATTTTAAAAATAATAATATTAAGGCCACTCTAGGTCTTTCATTTATAAATTCCACATGTCTGCCACTGCACATTGATAAGAAATTGCACTTAAAAAAAAAAATCAAGTGCTAAAATTCAGTGGCATGATTGGAAATGGCCTTATAAAACCCAGGATTAAAATAATGCATGGGAAGTTGTTGTGGCCCAGCAGGAGCCGTTGGAGCTGCCACCAGACTCCGACAGCGAGGGGCCCTATGAGTCGGCTCTGGAGGATCCTGGACAAGGTTCCGACTCCGAGCAGAGCGCAGAGAGGCTGGGTGCCCACCAGGAGGCGCCTGAGCCTTGGAGCAGTAGGGAGAAGACAAGGGAGTTAGTCCTGGATGCCCAGCAAAGGAGGGCTAATAGGCGTAAGAAACAGTTATGCAGTTACAGGAGATAATTGAACTTAGCTGGTGGTAATTAGGCTCCTCTCAAGACTATAAAAGGAATGACTTTCCACATGCTCGTCGGAGGAATCAACGTATTCACTAGATCTGGAGAAGCTAACGTGGCTAGCTTGGCAGGCTGGATTGCTGCCAAGGTTTAGTCTGTGTGTTAATAAATCCTTGAAGTATCTTTGTCTCAGCGTGCTTTGCTGTATGAAGAGGGGGTGGGGTGTCAGAACAGGAAGGTATCTATTGCAATTTCTCTTACAAGACTGGAAAAGCGGGGAATGCTGAATCATCTTCAGTAAATTGTTACTGGGGGCTGCATACTCACAATATGCCAGCTTCCTCAGAGATATTAATGTGAGCCTTGATTTTCAGATCCTTCTGAATCTGGCTGTCGCAGGCTTGCGTGTAGTTTCCCATGTACAGCTTAGCAGGCACGATTTCTACTGGATAAGTTTTAAAGGCTTCCAATTCCTGTTGGGGAGGGGGACAGATCACCCAATGAAAGCACAGTACTTGTTCAAAGTCAGGGAGCGGAAATCAATACAGGCATTTTCAAGATCCTCTTGATTTCAAGAAGGGTCATTGAGATGTGTAGCTTCAAATCTCAAATCCAATAAAGTGTAGAACCTTGCAGGCTGCAGACCACTGAGACTGAGTCCCACTGAACTCCATGATACCTACGTACTTCTCATTAGACAAACGGAAAGCAGGAAACATGAGTTTGGCTAGAAGGGAACTCTCAAAGAAGTATATCAAGGTTTAAAATTCACAAGGGAACATTGCAGGTATAGTTCTTAAATGAAATAAAATACAAGAATCCTTTAAAAATATCCAACAGGAAAAAACTGATGCCCCATACCTCCCTAAGGAGGAAGGATTCTAGTTGCCTGCCTCAAATGCCTGCTGAATCTGGGAAGTTTTTGCTACTTGAGGAAAAGAGAAGGAATGCAGAGTTCAAACATCTCTTTTGGATAATAAAAATCTAGTCTCTACTGAGAGGTCTCAGTTTATACTCAACTTACTGTGCCTACACCTGAGCAGAACCCTCAGTTTTAATCAGCCCCGTAAAAACAATAGGAATAATAGAGGTACAAAGAGTGTTTTGTAAGAATTATGCTAGACTTAATTCTTACAAAATTTTAGGGTGTAATCTACCTACTTAGGAGACTCTTTTGAACAATACTTGCTTTTCAGCCACTGCTACATGAACATGAACCAACCAGTCATTGCTTTATTCAATATTGTTAAGCCTTAGAGAATGCAGTCTACTTTACAGAAGAACAAGAGTTCCCAACCAAAATTCTGAGCTTATTTTTATGTATGCTAATCTCCCATCCGTAGCTACTTTTCTTGACATTAACATTTTTTGCAAGTTGTAATGTACACATTTTGCATACATCTTTCCCTAATATTTACATCCTGATATACATTTGGATTGTAAGATGCATCATAAAGTTCTGAACAATATGGCTGATTACCTATGCAAGAACTTTGTCCAACCTTCACACAGAGTTATAAAGCGAAAATTGAATATGATTACATATACTATTGAACATTTCCATAACAATGTTTAGCAAAAAAAAAAAAAAAAAGGAAAGGAAATTTTGTTGGCCCCCTGACCCCTTTACCCGGGAAAGAATTTTCCCCCAATTTGCGAACCCCCCCCCCCCCCCAATTAGCCATGACATCAAGCCAATTCCAAATCAAGTTGGTGTGAGTCTGGAAGCCACTAGGCCGTTCTAGAAGGGATAGAAAGAAAGAGCAGCTAAGAAATAAGCCGTTTCCAAGACTCTCAGCATTAACACAGAGAAGAACAAACAAAGAACCACAAGGGACTATTAACTTTTGCTCCTTCTGAGGCTTTCAACAACTAATTGGCGCATCAAAGAAGAGAATTTAAGTTTCCCACCACAAAGAGGGCCATATGTGTGAGCATGCATATATACCTGAGGTTTCCCACTGCCAATTTATTAATAAAAAAATAATACTCCTCTGAATTGAAGGGAAAAAAGGGGAAATCTTGAAGTATAAGCAGAAAGCCTGGTCTTTCCTCTATGATGTTTGTCATACTTGAAGCATCCAAAAGATCTTTTGTGTCCTGAGGTAGTGGTAGGAGGCTGTAAAGCGTTCATAACCGCCTCTTAAGACCATGACTGGAAAGCGGGTGAGCCGCTGCATAATTCTTGCACAGCGTGCCGCAGAGCCTTCTTTAGCATCTACAAGCAGATCATTTAGAGAGTAAAGTGTTGATGCAAAATATTTATTGATTTGTGGCATGGGCTTCTTTAAGTCCATCCCATTTGTTATTACATCTCCGTATTACATGTATATTCCCATGCTCATTACAATAGGATCCAAGTTCTGTTTCTTAAAAGCAATACCTCTTTCTATATATCTGACACCCCATTGTTTTTCCCCCTAGTATTAATTTATTTAAATGACTTATAGCACTAGCAATAGCACTTAAGACATATACTGCTTCATAGTGCTTTACAGCCCTCTCTAAGCAGTTTACAGTGTCAGCATATTGCCCTCAACAATCTGAGACCTCATTTTACCGACCTCAGAAGGATAGAAGGCTGAGTCAACCATGAGCCGGTCAAGATCGAACTTCTGGTGGTTGTCAGAATTAGCCTGCAATACTGCATTCTCTAAGGCCACACAGCAAAATCCCCCCACCCTTTTGCTGGAAAGGAAGGTACTTCTAAGGCAGACACATTCAAGGAGTAGTGGATTTCTTTACATCCTTAAGTCCCATTTACACTAACAAGTGATTTGCCACTATAATGACAACATAACACATACTATATTCAGAGGATGTCTTCTTTCTTAATTCCTTTATATCCAATCCTGTGTCAAATGCTAGATGGAGAAAAGAAGAAACAAAAGGATTTAACACAGGGTTCTAAAGCCTTTCTTACAAGATGTAGAAGCATTTCCCCCATTTAAAATGTTCCTATACTATGCGCATCATTTGCTACAGTAGACTGACTCATTTAGCAGCTTCATGTGGAATAAGGCAACTGCTTGATGTAATTAAGCCTTTGATGGGCTGATCTCAGATTGTCAGGAGCCCAACAGTGGGAGTTCTAGATACTGATTCCAGTACATCTCATCACCACCAAATTCAATAAGAATGAGACATTTTGGAGCATCACTCTAGAGTGAGCCAAGCCTTAGCAAACTACCCTCCCTTTTTAGTTTTGAGAAAAAGAGGGATGATACGTGTTAGTTCTTTATCCACGTCAAGTAGATCATAATCCATATCAAAAGCCGCATCCACAGTTTCTGTTTTGCCATCATATATTACACAGTATCGAACACACTCCAGGCTGACGGATTGAGGCACCAAATATTTGCCCAATGGATTCTTTAAAACAAACAAACAAAGGTAAATTGAGTAGCATGAAATACAGATACTAAAGAATGGAGTGTGGCATTTCTGTGGTGGATCCTAAGGACGTTAAACTAATCCTAACCCTAAAATAGAAACATCCAAGATCTGGTTCCATTCTTATAAAGTAAAACTGATTTTGAAACCTTCAGCTATGAAATAGCTCTTTTCCTTATAAATTGTGACATTGGAATGTCCAATTGTGTGTCGGAGAAGATAGACAACCAATTTTAGGATAGAAATAATGGCGCCCAAAGAGTCTACTAGGCTATGGATTAGTTAAAAATATTTGAGGAAAATGTGCAACCTGTTTTAAGATTCCTCATTTCAATTCCTCATTTTGAGTATTATCCTATATCACAAGAAAGATAGCCCTCAGGACTTTTTTATTCCCTCAACCCCACCCCTCAGGGCAGTGTTTCTCAACCTTGGCGACTTTAAGTCCTGTGAACTTCAACTTCCAGAATTCTCCAGCCAGCTATGCTGGCTGGGGGATTCTGGGAGTTGAAGTCCACAGGACTTAAAGTTGCCAAGGTTGAGAAACACTGCCTTAGGGTATTGAGCCCAGGTGACGCAGTGGTTAAAATGCAGTAGTGCAGGGAGAGGTGGGTTCCTACCAGTTCGCACCTATTCGGTACCAAACCGGTTAGAAGAGATTCCACCAGTGGACCCGGAAAGCAGGCCACACCTACAGAAGAGGTTCCAAAAAATTTTGAAACCCACCACTGGTCTTTGGAGATGATTATTCTACACTATCATGCTCATATTTATAAAACTCAGTGCCTCTGTGAAAGGTAAGGATGACTACTGCGTTTGTGGTGCAATCAGAACATTGCGTGTGTTGAATTCTTTTAACGCAAACCAAAGATGCCTTTTAAAAAACAAGTTTACATCATATTCTTATGCATGCCAGTGCTGTGTGTGAGGTAATTTAAGGTGGTTCTGACAAGTGTCATCGGCATCTTCATATCCAGTCACATGGGCAGCAAGCCACTCCCATCCAGTGACATGGGTGGCAAGCCACTCCCACAAAGGAGGTCACATCCACAGAGTATGTTCGAACAATTTTTGAAACCCAACACTGAGTGCAGGCTATCTGCCCAGCCTGGAGTTTGATCCTGACAAGCCTCAAGGTTAATTCAGCCTTCCATCCTTCAGAGGTCGGTAAAATGAAGACATAGACTGTTGGGGGCAATATGCTGATATTGTAAACTGCTCAGAAAGTGCTATAAAAGCACCATGGAGAAGTATATAAGTCTAAGTGCTACTGCTATTTTGAAGAAAATTGATATTACTAATGTTTAAGATTATTACTATAGTGTTTGTGTATTTCTTGTCTCAATATGCCACTATAGCACTGTCACATATGCATATTGGTGTGGGCAGATGATATAGCTACCTCAAAACTGTGGTCCCCAAATATTCAATGCTACTTTATGGAAACTGATATGCAACAATAGGTTCCCCAAGAACCATTGATTGCTATATTCAAAACAAACAAATCTCTAGTCTAGTATGAATCTGCCTGGCCAATTAAGAACAGTTTTAGAACTATTCTGAATCCTGACTCTAATCTTTTGTTCAAAAACAAGCCATCAGGCTACTTCAGCTGACTGCTAGCTGCAGTTTGGCAGTTCAAATCTCACCGGCTAAAGGTTGACTCAGCCTTCCATCCTTCCGTGGTGGGTAAAATGAGGACCCAGATTGTTGGAGGCAATAGGCTGACTCTGTAAACTGCTCAGAGAGGGCTCTAAAAGCACTATGAAGAGGTTTATAAGTCTAAGTGCAGTTGCTATCAAAATCAAATTATTTTCCCTAAATTAAAATTTTTCACTTTCAAAATTCAAAGGAAGCGTTTCCAACTTGAAACACTTCAGAATGGTTTCAGATTATTAATGGAACAGTACTGGTAATGCTGGGAAGTACATTCAAGCACGAAACAAGGCTTTTCAAGGTTGTGTTTGTTTTAATTTCAAAACATTTTTCACATCAGTAGTTAAAATGTTGGAACACATTAATCATACAGGAACCTGGTTTCTTCCTTCTTGCTTTCTAGGCAACAAGCCAAATCTATTCTATTTTCTTCCATTTATCTCAACAAATCGAGGAATGAGATTGTTTCAGTTATGTTTCTGCTCTTTTATTATTGTGTCATGCAATGCATATTTACAAAGCAACAAGCCCTATTTTGTCTCATAGAGCTATATCAGGATAAATGTGCATAGGCTGATAGGTAGGTAGAGTATGACCATAAAAGCAATAGCTAATTTCATTCCATAAATGTTAGCAAAGAAAATTAAGAGTTTCTAGCCATTAAAAAAATCTCGGTATGGCATTTCGGGTATATGAGGATATTAAAAATCGTAGACTTCTCCAGAAATAAAACTCACTGTTTTGACTCTTAGTGCTGTCATCAAGTGGCTTTCATTATATTCCCTCTTGGTACGAGCATCTGAAAGTAAAGCAACAAGAAAAAAGAAAATATATTTATATGAAATCTACAAGTACAAATCTATACTGAAATCTATATGAAAAGAAGGGCAGTGAAAAGTAGTGGTAAAGATGCTGAACTAGGAATGGCTCAGAAAACCAGCAGGGTTACCTTGGAATGGTTATTATATATGTGCTAATGGCTGCAGATGTTCTAAAGAGATAGTTCACCAACTTGCCAATTTTTAAATCTCCCCATCCCTACGCTAGACATTTGTGGGTGCTGAAGAAATCAGTAGAGACTCAAGTTCTAAGAGAAGTTTATTAGGTGACTTTGAACAAACCATTCTCTCTCAGCCACTTTATTTCTCAGGGTTAGTTTGGTGGGAAAAAATAGGAGGACAGAAGATACAAATGCTCATGAATGAAAGTCAGGACATAAAGGTAATAAATAAAATAAATATGGTCTCAGTGGGTAAGAACCTCAAGTGCAGCTGATCAGCTTTTACCCCAATGCTAAAGCAGGGTCCTCAAGGATTTGCTAAAGGATCAAGGGATGATAGCTTTGTACACAACTGGCTCATAGTCCTAGCAACACTCAAACAGTAATATACAGGATTTATACAAAACAGTTTCAAAAATAGAAAAAGAATAACAGCAATGGCATCTGCAACAAGCCATGTTAATATTCTATATGTATCCCGATTTCATCAGATTAAGGATGGAATTTAGTACATAAATGGTAATATTTGCATCATAATGTCTCATCATTTGCCCTCTTTCACATGGATTCCTATGTCCAACTGCACCGTGTATTAATGTAACTATCTTTGATAACTTTTACTTACCCAATAAACAGAGATAGTTTGGCTCTGCTAATCTAGAGATCTTTGTAGACTGATTCAACAAATTATACAGTTCTGTTGGTTCACACAAGGTCACTCCTGCCATCACGTTGGGAAAAAAAAAATTCAGTGCCACAAATCCAATTGCATTATCTAAAGATTAATTCTTGTAGAAGGCTAATTCAGAGTCATGTGGCTCCTCCATTAAAAAATAGTTCATATTTAAACTGAAATCCAAGGTACCAGGATGCTGTTCACTCTAAAAGCAGAAAAAAATGGGATCGTTATATAGAGGTAACACTCAATATAGGAAATCTTGTTAACTCAATTGTAAAATGGCTTGCAAAAATCAACAAAAAACCAGTTGATTAGGTGTATACTCTTATATATTAAGATCTGAGGTGACACAGTGGTTAGAGTGCAGTACTGCAGTTTAGCCATTCAAATGTCACTGGCTGAAGGTTGACTCAGCCTTCCATCCTTCCAAGGTGGGTAAAATGAGGACCCAGATTGTTAGGGGCAATAGACTGACTCTGTAAACTGCTTAGAGGGGGATGTAAAAGCACTATGAAGCAGTATATGTCTAAGTGCTATTGCTATTATGAAAGAAAATGCCTGATATAAAAGGAAAAGAGATTATAATATCTTTTATTGATTCAATGTTTGCTAAACATCGTCTGCCTTGTGCTTCAAGTGGAATGGCTCCCAGTAGGATTAACTAAAGAGACAGGTATGACATAACAGGAAAACAGAAGGGATGAGTAAAGGAAAATAAGAATATTCAGGCATTACTTCTTAGTATTAGAAGGGATTCACACAGTGTTGAAATTCAAATTGTTTTACTACCGGCTCTGTGAGCGTAGCTTGGCAGGCATGGCTGGGAAGGATACTGCAAAAATCTCCATTCCCACCCCACGCTGGGGCCAGCCAGAGGTGGTATTTACAGGTTCGCTGAACTACTCAAAATTTCCACTTCTGGTTCTTCAGAACCTGTCAGAACCTGCTGAATTTCACCCCTGGATTTACAGTAGACTTTAGGACAGGAATTGAGGGAGAGGCCGTGTTCAGTAAAACTGATTTTATTGATACAATGAAGGTGGCACTACTTTCATTTCCCCCCCCTCTACTGCTAATAAATCGGAGCTTCCCCATTCAGAGCTGAATTAGCTATATACTCAGTAATATAGTTTCCCTTGTGTCAATTTCATGATTAGCAATACCATACTATAAGTACGGCAAGTATGGTACAGACCATCAAACTTAACAGGACTTAACTTAACTTCTCTCTCTCTCTCTCTCTCTCTCTCTCTCTCCCTCCCTCCCTCCCTCCCTCTCCCTCCCTCCCTCTCCCTCTCTCTGCATGGGTCCCAGGTAGAACTGCTGTCTGTCTGGATAACTAAACTGAAATGGAATGGTTACTGCTTCCTTACAAGTCTCAATGGCAGAGCTTATGTGTTGCAAGCCAAAATTCCAGGTTCCGCCCTGTATATTTCTATTAAGAACATAGGAGGAATTCTGAAGTATCACTGTGGACAATAGAAAACAAAATATAGGCATTAATCCTCCATGGAAGGATTTTTTCCAGGAAGGGCAAGATGAGAACATAATTGTAACATTACTTATGCTTTGGAAACATAGACTTGCTTTTTGGGGTTATCTTTTATATCTCTAGTAAATTTAGGTTTAAGACCTCTATGTTCTCCTTCACGTAGCTGATGAAATTAAACCACATTTATTTTATCTATCAAATTAATTTATATAAGATAAAATTGAAAAAAAAAGTTGTATGTTTAACTTTTAAGTTATAACTTTAACCTTAAACTGACTACTGTTGACCTCACCCCATTCCTAAGAGGTCAGTAGGGGTGTGCATAAGTGCACCAGCAAGCCTAACTTCCCTGTCCTAATGTCCCCATTTATTTGTACCCATTTCTTGTGTTCTTATTCATGTTTATTCGTATTCCTGTTATCTTGCACATGAGTGATGAACTAACTAACTAAATAAAAATAAATTAAAATACTGATCAACTCAGTTCAGAATCTAGGAGGCGTTATTAAAAAAGAGAAACCCACCACATGCAGTTCGTGATATCTATTGTCAAGGCAATTGTGGTTCCTGTTACCAGGGTAACCATAGAATCTATTTTTCATATTACCGAGTTTAATGGTGTTACAGTTGCTATAGTTGCATCCACTCTTCCGCCCTCGGTCTTCAGCAGGTCCTTACCGTCCAGGGTGACGTCGGCAACTTCAAGGGAGAAAAGCATCGCTGCGCCTAGGGTGAAACTCCTTCGCGTCCCCATCGCCATCTCTTGCGATAGACCCACCGAGTCTATGAAACTCCCGCTTTATGCGTAACTAGGAGAGGAGGACGTCACTTTCGCTTCCTCTCGCGATACACGACGCTAACCACAACTCCGAGAGGCTGAGGACGAGAAATCATTTTTTTTGGCCAAGCTATTAAGTTGTCGCGAGAATTCCAGTCACCGGTTATAAAATGGATCGAATTCTCGCGGGAGTTGGGATTTTTCTCCCTTTTTACCTTGAAAGCTGGAGTGTAGAGTAGTGTAGTAATAGTACAGTATAGGAATAGAATAGGAATAGAATAGGAATAGAAATAGAATAGAATAACAGAGTTGGAAGGGACCTCAGAGGTCTTCTAGTCCAACTCCCTGCTTAGGCAAGAAACTCTACACCATTTTAGAGAAATGGTCGTCCAGTCTCCTTAAAAACTTCAGTGTTGGAGCATTCACAACTTCTGGAGGCAAGTCGTTCCACTGATTAATTGTTCTGTCAGGAAAATATGTTAAAAGTTCCTTTCGCTTAACCTCACTTTGAGGCGCTAGAGTTCCCCAGGAGCGAAATGACTGTTTCATTCCTAGGGGCCTAGGCAAACTAGAATAAATTGACAAGCTGGTGACAGCCAAAGGAAATGAATAAAACGGGGCTCCCCAGAGTTTGGGGGAAAGAAAGCATAGCGAGAACTGGGTACAGCTTTATATCATGAACCCGGCAGGTTCATTCACAATTCTTTCAGCGTTATTTCGTTGCAAAGCCAGACGTTAGCTTCATGAGAAGGCAATTCTATTTAGCGTTTAAAAGCCTGCTTTCCATTCTCATTTTGAAACACTGGAGCGTGAAGGGAGAAACTTTTCTGCGGCTGTGAGAAACGTCTAAATCGGAATTACAACACAAAGACCTGCCTTCTCACGCGAGCGCTAAAATCGGCGAAATAATTCGTTTTCTTTGTTCCATATGTATTACTGAAATATTCGTTAAATTTTTTATCGTCCCCCATCCCAACCTGGTGTGTCTCTGGGCGGCTTCCCTAATTAAAAGCAGCAAGAATGAGATGAAAATAAAAGTCCTTTGGAAACCGAATCCTCCCCCCCTCCCCCAAATTAAAAAAACGGCGACAGCAGGTTTCGCGATGTGACAGGTCTCGCGAGACCGGGTGAGATTTTAAAAAGCAAGGCTTTGGAGCGCGAGCTGCCAAATTGTCGCGAGAGCTCGGGGTGTCTGCGTGTGAAGTCTCGCGCTGTCCTCCCGCTGCCTGGAGGTCGTCGAGGATAAGAGGCAAAAAAAAAAGCCCGCCGAGTCCTTCCCTCATTCCTGCCGACGTCTCCCGCCATGTTCTCCCGCCTCACACGATCTGCCTGCGCTGGGCTTCGCAGAGGATTCGGCACCACCTCGCAGGTAGCCAGGAGCGTGGGGATTGCGGAGCCAGACAGGAGAGCTAGACTCCTTTCCGTTGGGTCTGGAGGGCGGCCCTGTGGCCGGCCTGGTTGAAGGGATTTCGGGGCTAGACGGTGCCCCACAGGGCAGCCCCAGCAATCTGTACTCCCCTTGCTGGCGTTCTCGATGTAGGCCTTAGGATGGATTGACTGGGACTTTTTTTCCATTTAGAAAAGCCTAGAACAGATGCCTTCAAATTTATCAACTTTAAGACTTGTGGACTTCAACTCCCAGAATTCTATGGGAGTTGAAGTCCACAAGTCTTAAAGTTGCCAAGTTTGGGGACCCCTGGCCTAGAACAAGGACTTCAGCTCCCAGAATTCCCCAGGCAGCCTAGAGCTCCCTTACATGTACAGTAGGCTGGCTGGGGAATTCTGGGTATTGAAATCCATGCACCTCAAAGTCTCTGGAGATTCTCGGTCATCCATGTCATGGTTGTCCCAGAGCTGAAGAAGCTTCTTGGAGGAGAAGTGAAATGTCTTCAAAGAAAAACCAGACAGTCTAGTCACCTCTTGGGGGGGAAAAAGCACCTTTGGGACACACCTCAAAGTTGCTACGTTTGTAAAACACAGAGACAACGGGAGAGAAACAAAGGTTGATAAGGGGGGAAAATACATTTGGTCATGATAGGAATTTTAATTTCATTTAAGAGGTGGAGGCTGCCCTGCAGAGGAGAACTGAGACATTTACCTGGAGTGGGAGAGAGATCCCTCATTAAATTTTGTTCCTGCCTAAGTTAAAAGGATTTCTGGAATTGGAGCTAAGGTCTTGATAAGGTAGTTCTGGCCAATAGTTCACGTGGATTTTAATTTGTGGTTCATCTGTGTAAATAGCCAATCAGAAAATGTGAAAGGTGCCTTCATATTTAATAATGGAAATAAAATTATTTTGTGAAATTGAACTCCATTAGCATCCCACAAATCTATCAGTAGACCAAATCACAATGTAAAAAAGCAAAGCTGAAGAATGTATAATAATTCAATGAAACTGTAGATCAGAAATCTTTTCCTGATTCTTTTCACACATGCAAGTTTTTTTCTTTTTAATATTTCATTTCACTTTAGAAGGCCAGGATTGATTGGTTTTTAGTTGACTTTGTATAGGTCTTAGGGCAAGAACTTTTTATATCTGTTACTAGACATGATGAATTGCAGTTCATAGCTTAATATTTTATTTGGTTTATGCAAATGTTGGAAATATATATCTTTCCTCTGAAGTTATTCCGTAAATCAATGCCCTATTTTCTATTGTTGCTGGATTTGAGTTAGGTGCTAGAATCACAGCTGAATAACATCTAGAGGGCTGTACAGTTCCTGGTTTTTATCAAGATTATCTTGCCTGATCTCTTAATGCTGAAGTTAAAGAATTTAACTTGCTCTGCAGTTTCCCAGCTCAGTGATGCATCCACATTTGGCATGCAGTTATTGTTGAATATATTCCTTGCATTCTCTCATTACTTGTTTAATAGATGTGATATACTGTATAAGGAACAAGGAAGCAAGAATATACTGTACAAATACTATGTCTGGTACATAGATAACTGACCATTTTTAAACCTCTATTCCTCATCTTCAGATGTAACTATGAATTAGTACAAACCCTGTGAGGAAACTTGGATAAAATATTTGAATAGAGATTTAGCTTTATTATTTCCCAATTGGGAAATAGGGTGGGAAAGGATGCCCAGAAAGGATCACAAATAAGTTGATTTGGTTTAAGTCTAACACTTGGTGTGGTTAGGTTAATGAATGCCTTTTATTTTCTTCATGTTCCTCAGCTCATATCTTAAAATCTTTGTAAAATTTAATTTATCTATTCAGGGATTTGGAACTAGCTTTTCATGGAGAGGTGAATAAAATTTTAAGTACCGAAACTTTAAATCCAGATATGACGTCACTGCAGGCAGAAGAACACAGTTATCTTGGAAATCTTCTATCAACCTTTAGTTCATTCCATTAGCCAATTGCAACACAAGGTTTCATTCACCTTTGCAATTGTAACAGAAATGCATTATCAGCAGTGTACCTTTAAAAAACTCAAATGTCAAAATCTGAACTTTCTTCCTTGGTCACAGGATGGAAATCTGTCTCAACATATTTCTCATGATTTCTGATACATTCTTGCAACCCAATCTTTTCAGTAGCCTGATACAGAATTGTATTGTTATGGTTTTTTGAAATTCTTAGAACAGCAGCTTAGAGTAAGCAATTTTAACAGAATAACAGAGTGGAAGGGACCTTGGAAGTTTTCTAGTCCAACCCCCTGCTCTGGCAGGAAACACTATACTGTACCATTTCAGATAACTGGTTGTCCAATCTCTTAAAAATTTCCAGTGTTGGAGCATTCACAACTTCTGGGGGCAAGTTGTCCCACTGATTAATTGTTCTGTCAGGAAATTTCTCCTTAGTTCTAGATTGCTTCTCTCCTTGATTTTAAATGGAGATAAAAATTTATTGCTCAATTCCAACAAGCATTTAGACTACCTAAAAATGCTGATGTTCTCTTGTTTGTGCTTCGATTTATAAAGTTAATGTTACCAAATTATATTGTTTCAGAAAACAATCTATTTCTACATTTAGGAAATCACAAACGTTAAGCATTTAATTGTTCATCCCCAATTCAATACACACAAAGATGAATATAGGCATAAAATATTTTTTTGAAGGTGAAAATTGAGATATTTTATATTTTATCCCCCAAATAACTATTTCTTCAATACTTGAGGTGGGAGCTGAGGCAACAAGCTGGCTTCGGTCAGGCCAGCTGCTTCTTTCCACCACAGTGGAAAACCACTGTTATATGCTGCTCTGCTTGAGTTACCAGTTCTGTGCCTAGAACTGCAGCCAGAGATTTTTACTATTGCCATATTTCACTTTGTCTTCTGAGATTTGATATCTAATGAATTAAAATGTTAAAACACTTTACCATCCTTCCAAAGCTACGCCTATAAGGGATAATGACATTTTAAAAATGGAGAAGCTTCTTAAAAACAATTCTAGGATGCACATTTGGTTATTTGTGGGTTTTTTTCTTGCCCTATCCAGAATCATGCTAAAGTGGCTGTACTTGGCGCTTCTGGTGGAATTGGCCAGCCTCTCTCCCTCTTGCTGAAGAACAGCCCCTTAGTCAGTCAACTCAATCTCTATGATATCGCACACACGCCTGGTGTTGCAGCTGACCTCAGCCACATCGAAACAAGAGCTGAAGTGAAAGGTAAGAGATATCTGCTCACTTCAGATATCTTGCTTTATTTTTATAATTTCATTGTGCACCACTAATTCAGGGAACCTATTAAATGGATACTGTTGCTATAGTAAAAGCTACAACTGATAGATTTCAATCCCAGAACTAGTTATGGATGACAGTAGTCAGAATCACAATTATGAATTGACTAGTTTTTTCAGTTTGCCTGATCTCATCATATATGCTTTTAAAACAATATATCCTTCTTGGCTACCCACGAGCAGCGAGGAAAAGAGATTGATCCTGGCATGCAACCACTGGCAGGAAAAAGATTCCTCACCTGTTAATCTAAAATGAGTTTCCCCTGTATCCTACAATTCAGGATAGGAGGATATCTGCTCTTTCATGAAAACTGCATCTTAGATTAT